CCTTTGGGGTTGCTGTAGGTGATCCAGAAGTCTGTTTTTGAGGCTTGTTTACGTGTCTTCTCATTTCCATGGTGGGGGGGGGGGTTGCTTCTGGTGCCCACATGGCTCACCTCTGCCCTAGGGAGCTTGGGATGGTGACAGGGGAGCTTCCTTCCAGGTGCTGGGACCGGCTTAGCTTCTCTGCCCTAGGGGCTTGGGATGGCGACGGGGGAGCTTCCTTCCAGGTGCTGGGACCAGCTCAGCTTCTCTGAATTGTATTTCTTATATGCAAATGATATAGGGGAAGAGATACAACTCCCAAATCTGCTAGATATCCAAAGTGCGAGTTCGTATTCTCTAAAATAGAAGAACGAATTTTAGGAACAACAGTTTAAGAGTAGGAAAAATTTATTGAGAGAAAGCTTCTGTCTTGAGAATCAGAGGGGGACTGGAAAGTGAGTTGCCCGCTCACCCAACTTCTCAAAGGTGTTTTATGGGACAAAGCCATGAGGTGAGGTGGGTTCAAGGTGGGACAAAACCATAGTCAACTAGTGAGACTACAGGTGCAGTCACTTAGGTAAGATTGATCCAATGAGAAATCACAAGGTGGGCAAAACTATGAACAACCAATAAGATTATGACAGGTGTAGTGGCTTAGGTAATGATTAAATGGGGATCCAGTGGGGAAACAAGTCATGTAGCAAGTGTACAAGGAATGAGCAAGGATTTTTGGTGGTAAGGGGTGGGTCAGGGATCTTTCTTGGAACATCTTGGACCCCCACCCAAGTGATTGATACCTATTTAGAATATCAGTCACTGCTGTTCATGCTATGTGGGTGTGGTAGTTTCTCCTTCTACAACGCTGGCTTTCAGTGCATGTGTCTTGATTGTCCTCCATGTTGGCTCCTCTGGGCTGGCCCTATCTAACTGCCTACAAGATAGCTAACTTACCTATCTACAATACCAGTAGGCTCAGTATTTTTGCAGGTTATTTTTTGTTCCCTTTGTTTCGTTTTTAGCAATTGTGGAGTTATAAGACACCAAATTGAATTTTTGTTAACTGCTGTAATTTTTCCACTAGCTTACATTTACATTTTTGCTACATATCATCCATTTTCCATTTTTCTTTTTCTTTTTTTTTTTTTTTTTTTTTAGGCTTCCTTTTTAGTTCAGGTTGGCCTTGACCTCACTAGCCCAGGCTTGCCTAGAACTCAGCAATTCTCCTGCCTCAGCCTCCTGAGTGCTGGGATTACAGGCATATGCTAACACATTTGGCTCATTTTCTATTTTTCGAACAAAACAATTTTAATTGGATGTTACATTTTATAATTATAATGCATATTGTAAAATTTCTATACATGTGCATTATATAGAGTTCAACTTGCTGGTTAGGAAATATGTTTTTCTGAGAAGATATCTATATATCTCAACATAATTACAGTTATATGAAGTACAAAATCTTGTCTGTTTTTTCTTTGATATCAGAGCCATTATGTATATATTATATATTGTATATATTTTTATCATAAATTTTACTTTTCACGCTCACATTGCTATGATTTATTTTCATAGTAATCTTTCTATCAGTCATTATACCAAAAATATATACTGCTAGGACCCCCGCTACCAAAGACCAACAGGATGATATCTTTCTCAAACAAGATACTGTAAAATGAATATAGTGAACAATATACCTTATCTTAATATAATACTTAGAAAAATTAACCATTAGGTGGGCAATATCAAGAGTTATGTCTATCAAAATGAAATATTTAGTGTCTCATGTAATTCATGACATGCTACTTTGAAGAGTACAGTATCAATTTTTACACTTTTGAACATGTGGCTAATTTAACTGTAGTTCATTTCTATTTCTTTCCATCAGGAATTTGTACAGTGCATACTGCTGTTCCAGAGATGAAATAGTAAAAATAAGATATTTTATCTTGAGGACATTTATTTGCCATTAATTTAGCATAAAAACCTTGCTGGTACTGGTGGTTTATGTCTGTAGTCCTATGCTCTCAAGAAGCAGAGGTGGAATAAGACTGCAGGATTCAAGCCAGCCTGGGCAACTTAGTTGGACCTTGTCTCAGAATAAAATATGAAAAGGCAAGGCTGCTGTTGTAACTCAGTGTTTTAAGGCTCTTGAGTAAATCTCTGTGCCTTACTAAAGAATGATTGAAAATCTACCTAGTTTATTTCTTTAGTTTTGTGTTATATTTTAGCTACTATTTATATTATAGAATTGTATAATTTTTAGTACTGTTCATCATTGCTTCTGCTCTCCCAAGTTTTTCCTTTCATCTTACAAAGAAAGTCAAACAGAGAGCACAGGTCTTCAACCAACCCACAAACCTCATAGTGATCATTTCTCCCATGGTAATGGACTCACGTTTGCATGTTTCCATCACCATGTCACAAACATGAAATTCCAAAGTTCTGCATATGATTAATGTTACTATGTATCTTAGAAAGGGATGATAAAGCAAATGATGCCAAAACATCTAATGGAATGAATACACCAGAGTGACCTGTTTATGGTTGTAAATGTCCACATCTGGAAAACAGAATGAGTCCACATAAATAACCTAATGATGCCTCTTGGGTTGTTCTTGAAAAATGAGAACAATCCAAATCAAGTACAAGTAAGAAAATTATAAACATCAAAGCAGAAATTAATAAAATTGAGGCTAACAAAACAATACAAAATATCACAATATTATCTCAATAGATGCAAAAAAGCCTTTGACAAAATCCAATATAATTCATAAAAACTCTGAAGAAAATAGATGTGGAATGGTTTTATCTTAATCCAGTAAAAGCCATTTATAAAAAGCCTACCAACATTACATTAAATGGGAAAAAACTGAAAGTTTTTCCTTAAAAATTAGAAAAAAGAGGAGAAGGATGTCCACTATCACTGCTCCTCTTCAGTATACTCAAAATAATTAGCCACAGCAATCAGGAAAAATGATACATATAGAAAAGGAAGAAGTCAAATTAACATTAATTGCAGATTACATGATTACAAAGAAAACCCAAAAATATACTGAATGATAATAAAAATTAACTGAATTTAGTAGTGTACCTTAATACAAAATCAAAACACAAATATTTATAGAATTCTTGTACAATAATAATGAACTCACAAAAATTTGAAAATGCTGTTTACAATAAATGAAAAATAAATACTTAGGAATTAACCTAAACAAAAAAATGAAAACCTCTAGTATGAAAACTACAGTATTCTAAAAAGAAAGAGATTGAAAGGGACATCCGGTGGAAATATATCTGGTGAACCTGGAGAAAAAAATCAATATTGTCAAAATGGCCATAGTTGCAAAATGAATATACATATTTAACATAAACAAAATGCCAAGGAGCATTCCTCACAGAGCTAGAGAAAGCAGTCCTATAATTCACATGTAATCAGGAGAGCAAGAATAGCAAAAGCAATAGTGCGCAAAAGAGCAAAGCAAGAAGCATCACATTCCCTAACTTCAATTTATATTACTAAGCTACAGTGTAAGAACAGCAAGTTACTAACACAAAAACTGACATGTAAGTCACTGGAATAAATTTGGAGAAACAACTTCAGGCACATTCAGCTGTATCATTATTGAAAAAGCTGCCAAACACATGCTAAAACTGGTGGTGAACCTGTGGCATATGTACTACAGCAGAGATGCAGAGCCCTCTGTCAGCACACAGACCAAGTTGCCCCAGTGAGCCAAGTCACTCCAGTGAGCCTAGCTGCCCTGGCATTGCCCCAGGAGCAGAACATTCAGGTTTAATTGCAGTGTTAGCACTTTGTGGTAAGTGGGTTTTAGGTTGCAGTTTGTGCACCTAGTTTTCTAAAAGTTTTGCCATCACTCTGCTAGAATATGGATAGTCTTTAACAAATGGTGCTGGGAAAACTGGTTATCCACATGTAGAAGATAGAATCTAAACCCATATCTCTCACTATGTACTAAACTATAAACAAAATGGGTCGGAAATCTAAAAGTTAAAACTCCAAGATAAAACTCTTGAAGACATGGGCATGGACAAGGACATAACACCAATTGCACAAGATACAATATCCTGGGTCCACAAATGGAATCATATCAAATTAAAAAGCTTCTGCACAGCAGAAAAACAATGAACAACATGAAGAGAAAACCTAAATAATGGGAAAATATTTTACCTTCTACCCCTCAGAAAAAGGACTAATAGGTAGAATATATAATTTTTTTTAAATTAGACTTCCTAAAATAAAAGACCCAATCAAAAACAGATAATTGAAATAGACATTTCTTAGAAGATGTAGAAATGGCCGATAAATATATGAAAAATGTTCAAATCTCTGACCATTAGAGAAATGCAAATTAAAACAACACTGACATTCCATCTTACTCCAGAATAAATGTCTTATTATCAAGTAATGAAATAGTATCAACTGCTGATGAGGCTGGAGTAAATGAAAACTTTTCCATTATTAAAAAGAAAGTAGACTAGTCACAACCACCATGCAAATAAATATAGATAAGCATATTTTTAGTTCCTCAAAGAACTAAAAATATGGTTTTTATTTTACCCACCTATTTCCTTTCTAGATATCTTTCCAAAAATTAAAAACATCATATTACAGGTGCTGGGGATGTAGTTCCGTAGTAGAGCACTTGCCTAGCATATGACAGGCTCTGGATTTGATCCCCAGCACCGCAAAAAAACAAGAAACATCATATTAGAGTGATACATGAATACTCATGTTTATAGGAGCACAACTCATATAGCTATTGTCATCAGGGGTTTGCAAGGGAATTAGATTTAATACAGGACATATAATTTATAGGATTATTATATTTACCCAAGAAGTCAAATACGGAGGAGGGCAAGAGATTAGCCACATGCTAGAGACCCAAAGAATCCAGCCAAGGATCTGGATCCCACAGCAATGTCCCACACAAGTCCAGCTGAAGGCCTAGAGTCCAAGGCAATGTCCTCCACAAGTCCAGCCAGAGCCACAGCAATAATTCATGCTTGTATGTGTAGGGAACAGGGAAAGGGGATGTTACTAGAACATCTGTAGTGAGTCCTAGTCTGCGAGCCACAGCAGCACAAGGCAAATTAGTATATTAGACAGAAAAGATAGAAAAAGTGAGACTTAGAGAAGAAGCTGAGCTCTGGGCCTGATCAGTGCTGCTCTGGGCAGCAAAGACAACAGGCCCGAGCTTGCCACACCTTGATTCAGTACATCAGGAGAAACGGATGCAACAGATGACTCAGGGCAGAGAGCTCAGTACATCGGGAGAGTAACAAAGGTAAAAGGTGACTCAAAGGGCAGTTGCCACAGTGGCGAAAATCCTAAAACAATGAGGAACTACGCACATGAAGGTTTTGTTCCTCCCAGGATGTCTTCAGCTCGTGCAATCTTGTCCTGGAGAATCACAGCATCACTAGAGCGCTGAGGTTTTAGGTGTGACCGGAGGTGAAGAAGGCCTGTAGGCAGGAGAACTAGGTCTTAGTTTAATTGTGAAATGATTTTTCCCCAAAATCATGTAGAATTGCTTCTGACAGTTCATATTGAGGATCTGCAGCAGGAAGGCCCAATGCCAGTGGTGGAAGCCAGAAAAACCTGTGCCAGTGAAGTGAAGGATTTGTGCCACCAGGCTGAGGAATCTACACTGGAGCCAGGAAGTGATGCTCATGGTGAAGATCAGAGCTCCCCTGATCAGAACAGCAGACATTCCCAGTGACAGTGAGGCCCTGACCTCCTCCTCCAACGAGATCAGCCAAGTTCCCATCAGGAAAACCAGCTACAGCAAGCTTCTAGAAGATCAACAGCCCCAAATCTTTCCCTCCAGTTCTTTTTTTATGGCTACTGGCAACAATCCTCAGGTGGATCCTCCATACCCAGACTATACTGATTCAGTTCAGCTGGGCGTTACAAGTTGCCCATTAGTTAATCCACCACATGAGCTAAATCTTGAAAGCAGCCTGTGTGTTCAACAACAAATAAATGAGTAGAGACAATGTACTTATACACAGAGGAGTACTTCTCTACCATAAAGAAGGATAAACGAGTCATTTACACAACAGGAGTGCATCTCCAACCCATATTATTAAGTAAAATAAATCAAAAAGGATGGGGAAGTGACAGATTTGTGAGCAAAAATAATTCAACCTCTCGAACATTCACAATCCAGATTTTGGGAAACATCAACTTGGAAAAGAACAAGAGAGAAGTAGATCACCAGGTAACCAGAGGAATCTAATAGGAAAATATAAATGAACAGAGAAATTGAAGGAACAGAACACAAAGTGGGGGAAGGGATGAAACCATCTGCACTTCTCAGCTTGTAGTGGTTCATGGCTCCCAGCAGCTCACGGTAACTCATGCCTGATGGCAGCTCACAGCCTTGAAAGACAAAGTAAATACTGGAGACTCAAGTAGGCTTCAGGGAGCAACAGGGTGGACCAGACTGCTGGGCAGTTGTGATCCCCAGGGAGAGCGTAGGGTTCTGTTCCCTGAAGTACTTCTGCAAGGAGCAGCTGGTGAATGATTCTAGTACAAGTGCACAAAAATATCCCTGTACACAGTGCTTGGTTGAAAACCGTCCTAGGGAAGGCTTGTTTGAACCTGGGTTCCAGAGTAGGCACACGGCTCCACTGCAGAGCCCACAGTGCTATAATCCCATAGTGATATAATCCCATAGTGACTGGGCAAAAGAACGCCACTGGAGACGGCTCCAGTCCGGGAGCAGGCTGGAAAGAGACTCCTGAGAAGTCTTTGAGCTAAAGGACAAAGGCCTCGCTCCCACAACAGAGACCAGACTCAGGTTGAGTTGCTCTGATTGGAAGGCTATGGCACTGACGCCATTGTATTACTCTGCTGACGTCAGCATACAGTATGGATTAGGGGTTTGGCTGCTTTATCTGCAGGGATATGTCTTGACTTGGATATTTTCCCAGCACTGCCTACCCTGCATTCAAAATCATAGAAATATTTTTTATTTGTTCTTTATGTGTGTGTGTGTGTGTGTGTGTGCACGCGCGCGTGATTTTCATTTTTCATCTTTACTAGTTTATTGAGGTTTGGAGACTTTTCCTTTGTCCATTTTCCTGGCTCCTTTTTTTTCTGTCTTTTACTTATTTTTTTATGTTTGAATTTTTCCTCTTCTACCTTTAAATCTTCTATCTTTAATTATTTTTCATTTATTTTTATTCTCCATATAATTTCCTTCTCTCCTTTTTTTTTCGGTACCGGGGATCGAACTCAGGACCTTGCGCTTGCGAGGCAGGTGGCAGAACCACTGAGCTACATCCCCGGCTCTTTTTCTCCCTTTTTCTCATCTATTTCTCATCAATTTTTCCTTTTCCAATTCTATAAACATTTTTTACCCTCAATAGGGTTCTTTAGCCCTACTTCTCTCTCCTCTTTCTCATATCATATAATTTAAAATTTATCTTTTTGCATTCCCCTGTTCTCAGCTCCCTATATATTTAATAGCATAATCATAGAGCTTCATTAGTCTTTAGACAGTTGACACTATAAAATTACTGCTGAATTCTTTTATTTCATTAGTAGAGATATAGCTGTCTCATGGGTTGTCTTGGGGTTTACACTGTAACAGTGGATTTTTCTCTAATGTTTTCTCTTAATGGTTTCTCTAATGTTAAGGGTGGTGCATAATTTGTTCCTATAATATATTAATATACAATGTGTGTTGGGTGATACTACTGTTGCTGATTTGCTTGATATTACTGTAGCTGATTTGCTTGACATTGTTGCTATTAATGGGTTATCTCTGTAAGCCAATAATCAGATTACTTTTGTGACATTAACAATAATAGGGTAAAGGGGCTGGGGATTTAGCTCAGTGGTTTCGCCACCTGCTGCACAAGCGCAAGGACCCGAGTTCGATCCCCGGTACCAAAAAAAACCCAAAAAAAACCAAAAAAAAAAAAAAAAATGACGAGGATTTAGCTAAGTGGTCTCACTGCCAGCTGTGCAAGCACAAGGACCTGAGTTCGATCCCCGGTACCAAAAAAAAAAAGATTAACAATAATAGGGTACATTTCCACAAAACCTGGTGTTGGGCAAGTTACACTGAATCTTCTCCTTCCAAACTAATCAAGGTGGTAATATATCTTGGGACACAGGGAATGGACTATTGTTACCCATGCCCAAAGTACATCATTAAAAAGTGACAACTAAAGAGATCTCTATATTAGCAATAAAGTCTTTACAGTATAAGCATAACAAACCACAGCATGAAACAAAACAATCAAACAAAAAAAAAATAGAAACCTGAGAAGACAAGGAAACAAAATGCCTCCCAAAACTCCAAACTCACTCAAAGCCAAACCAGAGGGCACTGACGGGAGAATAGCATGAGCCACACACCCAGATTACTCAAAAGGGTAACAGGGGAGGTGAGAAAACAGATCAAATTAGTGCTCATGAGGATCATCAAAGATATAACTAAATAGGTAATGAAAGTCATAACAAAATGATCCAAGAGCTTTCAGAAGATACTAATAAAAAACTAGGTGAAACAAAAATGATACAAAACATGAATGACCAGTTTAGAAATGCACTAGAATCCATAAAAGGGTTTCAATCTTAAATCCAGAAGATTAAAAATTATATCAAAAGTATTAGCAGCACAAGCAACCAATGTGAGGACAGAATTTAAGAACTAGTAGAGAATGATGTATTCAAAGACCAACTACTGACACACCTTAAAAGCAATAAGAGAACATGAAAAGTGGATTCAATAACTGCTAGATGACACAAGGACTAATGCAAGAAAAATTGAAATAAGTGAAAAATCAGAAGGCAGCACAAATTACATAAAAAACCTGTTCACAGTAATATCAGCAGAAAACTCTTTCAAAATAAAGGGAAAGAAGTGAACGTACAGATAAGTGATATATATCCACAAATAGCTACAATTAAAAGAGACCTCTCCACACCACCTAATACTCAGAGTTCTAGATACCCACAGGGAGAAAATCTTAAAAGCCGTTAGAGAAAGGCAACAAATCACATATAATAATAAACCCACTAGAATTACAGCAGACTTCTCAACTCAGACATTAAAGAAAAGGAGGCCTTGAAGTGAAGTGTTTCAAGCCTTAAAAGACAAAAACTTCCTACCCTGACTTATGTACCTTGCAGTTTTTTCCTTTAAAATTGAAGGAGAAATAAGATATTTCCATTACAAGGAGTACCTGATGAAATTTATGACCAAACCAGCATTACAAAAAACTCTCTAGAATATCCCAGAAAGAAACACTGAAGCCAACAATGCCAATAACTCAGAATGAATGAATATGGCTGGCAGAATGAGCAGCTAAGCAAAAGGAAATAAATTTTTAAAAACCAGCAACCAAAAAAAATGCAATGACAGGAATATGTCATTATCTCTCAGTAATATGAATTAAATGAGAATGGTTTCAACTCCTCAGTCAAGACATAGATTGTCAGAATGGATCATGAAACAAAATGCAACCATATTCAGTGTACAAGAAACATTTAATTTTTAAAATTCATAAATTAAAATCAAAAGTATGGAAACACTATTCCATCCAACAGGAACCCAGAACAAAACAGGAGTAGATATCTTAATTTCAAATAAAGTGGATTTCAAACCAAGACTAATCAGAAGAGACAGAGCCAATCCCAAAACCCAGGAGGAGGCTCCCAGGCTGCCATTCCACCACTCCCAGGGCAGAGGAGGTGAGCTGCGCGGGCACCAGCACCATCCCCCCACCAAGGAAAAGAGAAGACACATAAACAAGCCTCAAAAACAGACTTCCAGATCACCTACAGTAACCCCAAAGGGAAATGAGATGCAGCAATCTGATACTCAACCACCTGGACTCCCTGAACTGGCAACAAAAGAGGATCTGGAAAAAATGAAATCAGAAATAATTTCTCAGATAACAGCAGAGATTGTGCTCATGGTGCAAGACATGATTAATAAATCTAGAGTGGACACAGATAAAAAAAATAGAGGAGCTGAGGAACATGATGGAATCCCAACATAGGAAACAAATGGAATCCATAAAACACATGCAAACAGATTTCCAGGAGATTAAAAATTCCATTAAACGTTTATGCAGCAGAATGAACCAATGTGAGGACAGAATTTCAGATATAGAAGATAAGATTGCAATTAGTGACCAGGAAAAGAAAAATTGCTTTAAAATTATAAGGGACCACGAGAAATCAATCCAGCAGCTGCTAGACAATGCAAAGAAGAATAACAAGACTGATTGGAGTCAATGAAGAAACAGGAGAGAGTGCAGATGACATAAAAAAACTGTTCACACAAGTGATGGCAGAAAACATCTCAAGAAGGGGAAAAGAACTTGACATACAAATAAGTGAGACATACAGGACTCCAACTAGCCTTGATCAAACAAAAAATCTACACATAGGCATATAATAGTTAGGATTCCGGAAATCCACCAGAAGAACAAAATTCTACAAGCAGTGAGAGAAAAGAAACAAATCACATACAAAGGAAAGCCCATCAGAATCACAGCAGACTTCTCAACACAAACCATCAAGGCAAGAAGAGCTTGGAGTGATGTATTCCAAGCCCTGAACGAAAACAGCCTCCAACCCAGATTGATGTACCCTGCAAAACTATCTTTTAAAATTGATGGAGAAATAAGATACTTTCATTATAAAGAGCACCTTAGGAACTTCATGAATACCAAACCAACACTCCAAAATATTTTAGACAAAATCCTGGGAAAAGACAATGAGGATCACAACCCCAGGAAGCCCAGCAGAATGAATCCATTGGGTGTGACAAATTAAACGCAAAGGGGGAGAATCCAACAAAAAGAAAAAGTCATGACAAGGCTTTTAAAACTTTTAACTTCATCTCCCTGATGAGGGTATAATTCAATCTTGTTATTGTACTGATTAGTATTTTTCTGATTCTAGAGTTGCCCACCTTTCCTTGTGCTGTACTGGCTATCATCTTCCTGTGTCTACTTTTTGGTTGAGTTGTCTATTAATGAGCTCTAAGAATTCTTCATATATTCTGGTCACAGGTTATATGTATTGTAAATATGGTCTGTTTAAGGACTACTTTTCATTTTAATGATGTCATTTAAAGTTGTAAATTTTGATGGAATCTCATTTCTCAATCTTTTTTCTTTTATACATCATGTTTTTTGTATCCTAGGAAGTTCTAGCCTACCTTAAATTCATAAACATTTTCCCTTATAATTTCTTAAAGTTTTATAGTTTTATTCTTTCATATTAAGGTTCATAGATCCTTTCAAGTTATTTTTATGTATGGAAATAAAGGGTTGAGGTTAATTTTTTTATATACGGATACCAGGTGTTCTAGAGCCATTTGCTGACAACACTATCTTTTCCTCTGCTCTTGAATTGAGTTTATATTCTACAAAATGTTAGTGTTAAATAATCTTTCAAAACTCAGTGGACCATATATGAGTGATTCTAGTTTTAAATTCTCTGTTTTATTCCAATGATCTATGTCTTTCCTTACACCAATACTGCCTTGATTACTGTAGCTTTTGAGGAAGTCTTAAAATTAGGTACTAAATGTCTTCCAACACTGTTTTTTTTCTCTCCCTTTTCTTTTTCTTTTTACTTTTCCAGGTCCTTTCTACTCCTACATATATATATATACAAGAGTTAAGAAGACATACTATAGGGCCAGAGATTTAGCTCAGTGGTTCCGCCGCCTGCTGCGCAAGCACAAGGACCTGAGTTTGATCCCCAGTACCAAAAAAAAAAAAATTAAATAAAGACATACTATAACACAAAATTTGTACATGAGTTTTGTTTTGCAAATATTGTAGTTAATTAGGTAGAGATTGATACCTAGAAAAGGACCAGGCCCAAGAAAAGGCCAGTTCTAAGATGAGGTGAACCAGGTCTGTGGTTGTGGACTGGGCTGACAGAAACCAGGCCCCAAGATGGAGACATGATGGCTGGACTCACAAGCCTCATCAGACATAAATAACTTAAAAGTTGTACTGTAACTATCACCATCTTGTCAGGTCAGCCCAAAGAATGAAACAAAAGAATAGATGGAGACCAGGACACCCTGAACCTTGCTCCTAGCCCTTCCAGGGATGCCTTTGTTCTTCTCTGTGCTAACAGTTAGAGATAAACTGAAGTTAATGATGCCTGCAGATGTATCCTTGCTACATTCTTTGCTGGAATATTAGATCAATATTAGCTAAGCAACTGTACTTGTAACGCTCTAGGTTGATTTTAGCTTGAACTGAGGGAACCTGCAACATGATTTTAATGTATAAAAAACTGCTAGATACCAGACGTGATGGTGCACTCCAGCACTGGGGAGCTGAGGCAGGAGGATTGCCACAAGGCTAGCCTGAACATAGTGAGTTCAAGGCCAGCTTGAACTACATAGTGAGAACTTGGACACCTACGCGTACACACCCTCCAGCAGTCAGGAGCTTTTCCCTTTAATAAACTTCTTTCTAACTTGCCTTTGTATCCTCAGTTCCATTCTTTGGGGACATGAGACGGAAGTAGGAACCAGGCACACTTAAAAGGCTGACGGTTGCCAGGTCTGGTGGCACATGCCTGTGATCCCAGCACTTGGGAGGCAGGAGGATCGCGGCTAGCCTAGGCTACACAGTGAGTTCAGGGATACAAAGGGATACAAAGAACTACAGAGGGAGACACCACCTCAAACCTCCCCCCAAAAAAGGTTGGTAAATCATGGTGATTTCAGAAGCCCAATCTAAAACTGCCAAGGCTGCACATGACTGTCATCCCAAGAGTCGAGGAAGTGGAAACAGTATCAAAAGTTCTCCCCAGCCTGAGCAGCTTAAAAAATTGGTCTCAAAAATAAAAATAAATAAATAAATAAAAATTTGGGGAGATGTAGCTCAGAGCAAAATTCTTGAGTTCAGTTCCTGTATAATAAAAAAAATCAAACACACCTTGAAATCTTGTATCCAAGAGAAACCCCCTCTAGTCCAATTCACTGATGATGTCCACACTGTTTTTAAACCTGCAACAAGACCAGTTTCCAAATTTCTAATTTTGTCTCAAAAGTGAGTAGGTGAGCTGATCAGTAGTCAGAGAAGAAATACTTATCTGTTACTAAGTTCTCCTTTCTTTAGGCTTGTGACCTTTGACCCACTTTCAGACCAAGTCACCAGACAATCCTTCATTTATTGTCACACTAACAGCAATCAGACTTCAGGAGATTAATGCTGTAACTGCTGATTTTTGCCACCCACCAAAATCCCCTATCCTCTCATTTCCATTTTATTTCCCTTTACTCTTGCCTATTGAAAACTTCCTTTGGGCCGGGGATTTAGCTCAGTGGTTCCACAGCCTGCTTTGAAAGTGTAAGGTCCCAGATTCAATCCCCGGTACAAAACAAACAAAAAATCCTTTTATTCCTATTCATTCATAGGCCTGCAGACCTTAACTATGAGAATTTACCCCTACTTCAGTACTTGTTTTATACAAAGTCTGTATCAATCGGTGTTTCCTTTTTTTTGTGTACCGGGGATCGAATTTGGGAACCTGCGCTTACGAAGCAGGCGGCGGCACCACTGAGCTAAATCCCCGGCCCTCGGTGTTCCAATTTTTAAAATAATGTTTAGAAACCATCCAAGGACTACAGCGATTATTTCAGAATTGACACCGCTTTCCCTTCCACTCATACAATGCTCCAGGTGAACGCGCTTCTCGGTGGGGGTTTATCAGGCAGCCCCTTAGCAGGGGCCCTCCCCTCCCTTGGTAATATATTAACATCCCCTTCATTTTCCTTAGCATCCTAAACTCCATGGGAAGCCTCACTTACATAGTCTAATTGTAGAGAATACTTTATTTAGTAAGCTTATAAATAAGGCACCTACCCAGGGAAAGGGCTTGAGATAAAATCCGACATTTTGATAAGAATTAAATGAAAACAGGCAATTACATTGGACTTTGGACAGAGAATGAATTCTCCTCACAAGGAATGCAGCACCCTCCCTACTGACAGGAGCTGCTGCCACTCCCTACTGAGCTCCGGAGTTTCCAGCAATTTAAAATACAGAAAGTGGGGCTGGGGATTTAGCTCGGTGGTTCCAGCGCCTGCCTCGCAAGCGCAAGGTCCCAAGTTCGATCCCCGGTACCAAAAAATAAAAATAAAAAAATAAAATAAAATACAGAAAGTAACCAGCTTTCCTTAGATCCCAGTTTCCTTTAAACCCAGCATGCTGAGGAAATGGGTTAGAGAACCTACGTTCAAACTGGTTGTTTTAAATCCACAGAGCCACCTGTGATAGATGGCCACAAAAGAACTGAGCGATTACTGTGCTCCGCTTACTGCATTTATAACTAGCTCTGACCTGAGCAGCCACACGGCCACCACTCGGGATGCTTCCTTAAAATGAGGGAGCTATTCTTTTTTCCAATAAAATCTCTAACATCCTTCTTTTGGCTCGCGACCTCATTCCTCAATACTGCTCCATTGTGTAACTCCATTGTGAGTAAACGTCTCGTGTAAATAATTAATGTGACTATTTTTTCATTGCTGAGTATGAAACCCTGGGTTTCTCCAAAGCCCCTGCTCTCCCCAGGCTGGTGGGGTACAACTGTGCCTGGGGCCAGCAAAGGACGCCTTCTGGGCTCCGAGTGTCACAGTGAGGAAGGATGCGGGGGGCCCAGAACTGTTCCTGCCTGCCCAAAGGGGAAAAGGGACACGTGGTGATGCAGCAACAAAGAATGAGGCCTCAGGGTCCGGAGCTAAGCAGGGAGGGTGTACATTACCGTAGCTTGTTCTGGCCACTTCCTCCAAGAACTCACTCGATTCCATCCCATTCCCAGCTCCCTCAGCGTCACCATTCCGCGGCTTGAGGGTCTCCCAAGGCCCTCCCAATGCAGCCCGAAGCCAGCAGAAGTACAGAAAAAGGAGATCTAGTTGGGGGGCGGGGCGCACTTCCGCGCCAGGACTCGGGAACAGCCTCCTCCCTCAGCCTACCTGATTGGATAGTTCATACAGCCCGCCCCTTCGTCGCTGATTGGCTCCTGCTCCAGGGCCCATGCCTGAGCTGAGATTGACCAGAGAAACCTCTACCAGTGTGCGTGGCGCTCAAAGGACAGGCTGTAACCAGGAACTTCTGGACCATCCTCTCTCCTGTGATGTTGATCTCACCTCACCTGAGGAATACTTTCATTCAAGGGCTTTACTCCTGGCTTGTCAGAGCTGCCCTGGTTTTCTTAATGGACTCAGTTGACTCTCCTTGAAAATGGGTCACTAGAGTGGCCATACGGTTCCAGGGTCAGTGTCCTCAGGAAGAATCAATCCTTCGATGGCAGAAAACATCACGAGTCCAGGGTAGGCCAGGACACAACGGAACAGGAGGGACTGCTTTTGGAAACGAAGCAGTAGGCTTCATCGCCGAGATTTTCACACTGTCTCAACTACTCATTTTATCCAAGAAAATGAATATATGGCCCCCAAAAGGAATATAATTATTGTGTAAATGAAGAAATTATAACAAAAATACTTTGAAGTATCCATATTTCTTTGGAGTTCTATAGCAGGAAACACTGGATTTTCTAAAATGTCATCCATTCACGGGAGACACTCATGATGTTCAAAGATAAGGCAGGGGACTACATCCCTTCCTTACCTGGAAGAAATCCTGGTAAATAGGGCTAAACTTGCATCACTCACTATATACAACAGTGCCACAATATTACTGTATACAAACCAGCACACATTATTCTAATATTAACCACATTGCTAGCAGAGAACTATAGCCCCACCCAGTGATGTCTCAAATCATAGAATCACATGTGGAAACCTGATATAACAAATTAGATGCAAAACTTTCAACCATTGCAAAAAGGATCCACCATGTATGCCTAAATATTTTTATGACTATGTTGGTTAATCCAAAGATGAAAGGACTCTGCTTTGCCCTCCGAGGTCTACATTGACACTTGGATACCTGCTTCAGCAGAGTAAATGAGGTACTACCTGTGGAAGGAGATACAATCAATGATTGCATCCTCACTAATTCATATGCTGGAAATCCATAAAAATATATAACACATCCTCAGCTTCTATATGACATCAGCTTCTGTCTTTGTTACTTTCTTGTTTCTGGGACAAAATAACTGATACTCACGAGTTAAAGCAAGAAACGTTCACTTTGGCTCACAGTTTGTAGAAGTTTCAGTCTGTAGTCAGCTGGCTCTAAGGCAGGGTTGCCTCACAGACGAGCATCACAGAGAAGAAACACGACAAGACTTTGCAGGACATCTAAATACAAGCCACAACATAACGTTATTTCAAATTATGCCAATTTATAATTAGTGTTGTAACCCTGACCAATTTTGTCTTACTGAAGATATTAATTTGTTTAATGTTCTATGAGGATGAAATAAATGAGCTCTATAATTTCATAGAATTTGAGTAATAACTTGAAGAAATGTCGGATATATACTAATGCTGTTATGAATGCCTGGGAATTATTTTCACTGCAGTTTTGCTCCAATTATGCCTTCATGTGAGCATTTATCACTTATAAAATACATCTAGGTGTCAGGTAAACACTCATTTTATTTAAATCCATTTCCAATAAGAAATATGATTAAGGGCCGGGGATGTAGCTCAGTGGTTTCACCACCTGCTGCGCAAGCGCAAAGACCCGAGTTCGATCCCCGGTACCAAAAAAAAAAAGAAAAAAGAAAGAAATATCATGACATTTGAGACTTACTTAGACTCATTAATATTTTTTTTCTGGTACCAGGGATTGAACTCAAGACTTTGTGTGTGCCAGGCAGGTGCAGCACCACTGAGCCAAATCCCCAGCCCTTAAACCCATTAATATTTTCAATGTATACACATGTTGGAATATCTAAATTATGTAATTAAAACATGCCTTACATATTTATCATTTTTGTAGTGAACTGATGTGAAATCAGTTTTTTGTTTTCTGGTACCAAGGATCGAACTTGGGTCCTTGCACTTGCGAGGCAGGCGGCAGAACCACTGAGCTAAATCCCCGGCCCTGAAATCAGTTTTAACATTTTTTCAAGACTATCATGTCTTTAATTGTAGTTACCATGTATTCTGGTGGATATTTTTAATTCATTCCTCCTATGTAATTGAAAATTTTACCATCTTTGCAAACACTTCCTCACTCACCCCACAGCCTCTGGTCTTTGTTTAATTCCGTTCTGCTCAATACTCCTCTGAAAAATAAATTTTTAGATTCCACTTAGAAGTGACATTCTGTGGTACTTGTCTTCCTGTGCTGGCTTATTTCACTTAAAAATATGTCCCCATGTTAATCCATAGTGTCATAAATGACAGGAACCCATTCATGGACTCATAGTGTTCCATTATGTACATACACTAAGATTTATTTATCCTTTCATGCTGGAAACTAGGTGTTATGGCTTATATCAAAATGTCTCCAAAGCCTCACTCGCTTATAGGTAGGACTTTTGGAAGTGCCTGGCTCATGAGTGTGACACCGGATTAGTCCACTGATTGGTTCAGCATAATTCTGGATAAGGCTGATGGATTTACTAAAGGAAGAAGACCTACCCTGGGTTTGTATGGTACTGTCCAATAGGCTTGCACGCTGCATGGAATCAAACTAGAAAGAAGAAGGCAGTCATACTGCTTCCTGCCTGCCAGGCCTTAAATGGTTTCTCCTCTACCCTGCCCTCTGCAATGCTGCCCTGCCTTAGAACCAGCTGACTATAAGCCAAAACTTTTACAAACTGAGAGCTAAAATAAAGTTTCTTCTTTAATTTGTGGGTGTTGTGTATTTTGTCCCAGCAATGAGAAAGTAACTAAGACAGATTTTGGTACCAGAGAAGTGAGGTCATTGCTATGACTGTACCTAACCATGCGGTTCAGAAGCCCTCATGGATCGGCTACAAGGAGGAGTTTGGAGAAGATTGGAGGTGCTGGCTGGAGAAACAGCCCTCAAATGCTGTAAGCTGAGCATGATGGGAGGTTCTGGTCAGAGCTCAAAAGATCAGAACACAGATATAAACGCTTCTGGTAGAGACCAGGCAAAGGAGATTTCAGTTGGGACTGAGGACCGATTGGCAGTTAGACTCCAGGCCATGTGTGTTATGCCTGGACAGAAAGTTTGTCTGCATTTTGCTCATGTCCAGAGATCTTGCAGGAGACTCAGGTTAAGGGCAGTAGAGTAATTAATCTGCCAACTATGAATTGAAACCTCTACAAACTGTGACTTAAATAAACCTTCCTCCTGTAACTTGTTGGTTTGGGATATTTTATCTCTGCAACAGGAAAGCAACTAAGACACTAGGCATTTCCAGATCTTGGCTCTGATGACTAGTGCTGTGAAGAGCAGAGCATGCACATCCAAATGAAGGAACAGGGACTCAGTGCCCAGAATAGCATTTGTCACATCCCTGACCAGAGCTTCCTTCTATTTTGCATGCATAGTTCAGGTCCTGCATCTTGTCTGAGATGTGGTGTCACACTCACCCCAGGATGATACAGCAGAGACAGGAAAAGTTGTCTCAGGGGTCAGAGGGCTTCCTACCATGTGGATACTCTTCCCTCCCTCCACCCTCCGATTTGGTTTATTCAACTGATATGTTCGGCCAGTGCATGTGGGTGTAAGTGGTTATGAATCTGTTCTGAGCTCGTTCCACTCCTCTATCCTGCACTATGATCTCCACCATGAGCGGAGAGGCCTGGGAGATGTGAGATCCAGAGTGAGAGCCCTGGGAGAAGGCATAGCACTAGCCTTCAGCCTAAGGCTCACCAGGCTCAGTCCAACCAAGAGCAGCCAGGTAAGCACAGAGGACAAGACATACGGGCTGGTGTGAGGGTGGAGGATTCAAATCTTTCTTTGTGCAGCATCACTGAAGAAAGAACTGCCTTACCCACTGGTGATTCTGATGGGGATGTCGGGATAGAATTATTAAACATACAGCATTTGTTGTGTGAAAAAGTGGAAAATTACTTTGCTGTAAAATAAGGGAAGAAAATTCATGAGTTCTACCACTTTGAGGAAATATAATATACTGAAATATGTAGACAATTCCAATTATCTCCGATAGCTATCTTCCACCAAGTCACCACAAATAGCCAATCATCAAGTTCTAAGTTACTGCTCCTTGAGAAAGCTCAGCATTGCCTCCCTGCTAGGCTGGGATCACCCTTTCATCAAAATGACAGCTGACTGGGCCGGGGATGTGGCTCAGTGGTGCTGCTGCCTGCTGTGCAAGCACAAGGTCCTGAGTTCGATCCCCAGTACAAAAAAAAAAATGACACCTGAGTGATATAGGCTTTTTGCCAGTGTTCATATAAAAATGTGATTCTCATGAGTCCTCAACCTGGTTGTCTACATAATATTTTTCCTGTACAGAACCTGGGTGATTTTTTTTTTTTGGTACCGGGGATCAAACTCGGGATCTTGTACTTGTGAGGCAGGCGCCGGAACCACTGAGCTAAATCCCCAGCCCTGGATGATATTTTTAAAAATTTATTTTACTCCCAGCATCAAAATCTTCTTAACCCAGAAGATCAGTATTTCACTCTGTTTTTCCTTTTGAAATCTTTGATCTACTCAGCTGTAGCCAGGATGGCTCAACATTATCCTGACACAGTCAAATGACCATGAAATGCTTTGGTTTTCACCTTCAGAGGATGCTGCCCATTCAAATTTCCTATTGGTCTTCATCTTAGGAATCCAGTAGTTAGTTCCTCTTTGAATCTTGTCTATCATGCCCCCATACTAGATTAGTGTTAATTTAACACTCTGGAGAGCAGCCTCAGGGTCACATCTTAAAATCCTCTGTCCTATTTTGCAGGAGGCACGATGTTGTTGATTCATTACTGCTGAATTCATCCCCTTGGCAACCACTTTCCATTGTGAAGTAAAGTCTGCTTCGGGGTGAGAACTTCTGCCTTTGCAGAACTCTGTGCATGTGCATGTGCATGTATGTGTGTGTGCATGCATGTGTGTGTATGTGTGAAAACCAATACTGAAGAATACCTTACATGTATAAAACTCATTCTAAAATATTCATCTCTATGTATTTGACCAGTTTTAGTGCTTTATGTCAGAATTTCTCTGCTGCAGCTCTGTTGATATTTGCTGTATTTTGTCGACACTGTCCTGTGATTGTAGGGCGTTTGGCAACATTGATTGTATCAGACAACTAGATGTTAGCGGGTCAATCCTTTTTTATTTTATTTTATTTGTTTTGTTTTGTTTTTGGTCCCGGGGATAGAGCTCGAGACCTTATACTTGCAAAGCAGGCAGCAGAACCACTGAGCTAAATCCCCGGCCCTCAATCCTTTTTTAAATTATGAAAATGACAACTGTCTCCAAATACTAACAAAGGTAATATAAGCATGCAAGTTCTGGTAGTTTATGAGCACCCTTATCGAAATAGACAACATTGCTCTGCCCAATCCCAGGAAAGAGCACTGATGGGATAGAATTGAGAGGGCCACATTAGAAAGAGAGGGCATGGAAATCATCTGAGGGCAGAGAAAAGTCATATAGGCCGGTACATTTTTACAAGTGGAACAATTAATTAATGGCACTATATGGTAAATATGATGGCAAACAAAGACTTCAGGTACAAGTTTTATTTGGAATGTGTCTTGGGACTGACTTTACAGAAAGCAAAACTTCTGATATTCCAAGCGAGAAGAGATTATTAGAATCACACATGGTGAATGGACAAGAAACAGCAGTGTCTGAAAGAAATTGTTCATGGGCTCCTGTGCACAGGTCTCCTAGGCCGGCTGTGCTATGCCCTGCGTACGCCCTGCCAGGAGTCTGCATCTCTGCGGGTGGGATGTGTCTTGGCTCTAACTGACATTACCTCACTGTGTCTCTGGCATAGTAATACACGGTTGTGTCCACGGAGGTCACAATATTCATTAACAAGGACTGGTTCTTGGCTATGTCTCTGCTGATGGTCACTCAGCTCTTAGGGATGGGATGTGGTCAGTGCTA